AAAAATTACAAAAAGTATTAGCCAGGGGCGGAGCTGGTGACGGCGCGTCTGTATCAGCTACTCGGGGAAGGCTGAGCCAGGAGAATGGCGTGAAACCCGGAGGGCAAAGCTGGTTCAGTGAGCTGAGGAGCGGTGGACTTCCACAGTGAAGGCCAGCAAGCAGGGCACTTCGCAGCCTGGGCGACCCCAGACGAGCAAGGTCCGCGGGGACCCAAGACCCCTGCGTCTCAAACTAGAAAAAAAAAAGCACTTGGCACAAGGCATGAGGAGAGAACAAACAAAAAACTGCCTGTTATCGTCCCTATTTTACGCACATTAGCCCTGGCCCGAGCATATGGACTCATGCCGTTTCGGCCGCCGTTTATCCCCCCTATCAGGAGGCGAGCAGCGGTGTGATCCCAGCACTTTGGCAGGGCTTGAGCAGGAACAATCACTTGGAGGGCCAGCGGTTTCGAAGACCAGCCCTGGGCAAACATAAGGGATCCGCCAATCTTACAAAAAAATATTTATAGCCAGGCCTGGTGGCACCTGCCTGGTAGTCCGCAGCTATTTCAGGAGAGCTGGAGGGTGGGGAGGGATCGCTTGGACGGACACTGAGAACCGCCCGAAAGAAGTTAAGTATTGCAGTTTGATTGCTGATAAGATGCCGTTAGACTTACCTGCCACTGCCAGCAACTGAATGAGCGACACCAGATGGACATGCCCTGTCTCAAGGACAACCAAAGATATTCACCACCTAAAAAGTCCCCATATGTATAGGCAGACCAAATATCAGTTTATCTACATAGGAAAACCTTTGGCCAAGGAAAGAAGCAACAAACTTACATTTCACGGAGCTAGAATGCCTAACAATAAGAGTTTCATCTAAGGGGAATTAGGCCTGCGATATTCAAGAAAATCGGCTATATAGAAACATGAGATAACGGAAACTAACAAATGTATGAGTAAATCTATTTGCATGAGCCGTGTTGTATGAAATAAATTATGCTATGGGTGGTAATTTTTCTTTCTTTTATTTTTTTTTTGAGGACCGAGTTTGTCTTTCGCGCCGCAGGTAGGGAGGTGCAGTGCCACAAATCTTGGCTCATGGCAAAGCCTCGTGCCTTCTGTTTAAGTCAGTTCTCCTGCCTCAAAGATCTCACTAAGAGTAAGACCGGATTATAACGTCGACAGTCCAGGTAAATTCGAGACACTCACAGCTAACTTTTGTATACATGAGATTTTGATGTATGAGGAGCACACGAGAGAAATGTTGTATCACATGTACACCAGGTGGCTTTTGAGCTCGATAGGATACTGCGCTGACTCTGCATAGACAGAATCCACCCCCGTCCACTGTTATGGCGCGATTCTCCACACATACATAGCTTGGGAGGATTACCAAGTAAAGAGTTAGAGGTCCCAGCATGCGTGGTCTCTGGTCTTATTCTCAACTATTTTCTAATATCTACTTTTCTGAGTCCTGGTTCTTACGGATGGCTCTGAGCGCCATCTGTCGCTGTGTGGCCCCAAGTCTCCAGGCGAGCATTTGTGGCGCGATCACGGGCCAAATGGCGATAGGCGTCGCAGCCACACCATCCCGAAGGGTCGTTCAAGCGGACCATTTTCTTCCCTGCGACAGCCTGCGACCCAATCCTGGCCGAGGTCAGCTAGAGGACTGGGGAGTGGAAACTCACTACACGGTGCGCTCTTTACCTAAACCAATACACCCAACCACAAAAAATAAGAATCATGATGCCTGCTAGTTTTTTATATTTTTAAGTAGAGACGGGCGCCGGCGTGGGTTTTCCACCGGTGTTTAAGCCAGGGATGGTCTCGGATTTCTCCTGACTCCTCGGTTGATCGACAACGCCCACCTCAGAGTTCCAGGCTACCTCCAGAGATATGAGCGGCAGGAGAAATGAGTGAACACCATAACGAGGCAGGCTATTGACGCACTGCAGTCGACGGCCCGAGATCGGCACCAACTTTTTTTCCTTTCATTGCGAGCCTGGAGTGAGTCTTGCTCTGGTTGCCTAGGCCTGGAGTGCAATTGGGCGCTTTTTTAGTAGAGATGGGGTTTCACCATGTTAGCCAGGATGGTCTCGATCTCCTGACCTTGTGATCCACCCGTCTCGGCCTCCCAAAGTGCTGGGGTTACAGCCTTGAGCCACTGTGCCCGGCCATGCCTTTCCAATTCTTACAATTTTTATTTCTTGTCTTACTGCAGAATGCAAAATTAATTATTTCTCAAAGAAGCTCTGGTTCCTTTTAATGAGGAATGGTAGTTAGAAACCAGTATCTAGGAGCGGCCAGGAGCGGTGGCTCACACCTGTAATCCCAACACTTTGGGCAGCAGAGGTGGGCAGATGCCGGCCCGGGCAGCCAGGGGTGGCTCCAAGCAGCCCTGAAGTAATCCCAGCACTTTGGGAGGCCGGCCGATGGGGTGGAATCACGAGTCAGGAGATCAAGACATCCTGGCTAATCACGGTGAAACCCATCTCTACTATAAAAAATACAAAAAACCTAGCGGGCGAAGTGGATGAGCGGGCGCCTGTAGGTAAACCAGCTACTCGGGACGCTGAGGCAGGAAGCAAGGGTGGAACCCGGGAGGGGACGCTTGCAGTGAGCTGAGATCCGGCCACTGCACTCCAGCCTTGGCGACAGAGCGAGACTCCGTCTCAAAACAAAAAAAAAAAAGAACAAAAGAGGATGATCATGTTTAAAATAATGATGAGAAATGATCTTTTAATAGTACAGTTTGAATTGAAGATGTCAATGTGAGCTTCATTAGTTTTTATCTAAAAAAATTCTCCTAAGAATTGTGTCCTCGAAAGTGTCTAAAACAATGACTTC